CGTTGAAGAAGGTTGGGTTAAGACAACTAACCTCCTAACCTAACCAGAAACGTACAAACCTAAGCAACCCACCTAACCCATCGAGTCAAATGCATAGAAAACGTAGATATCTGAGACCTTACTTGCACTGCATGTGCAGTCAGAACGTAAAAAACGTGTCCTATTAGTTGAGATGAATGGGTTGTTAGGGCTCAATCGAACGATCACCTTGTACAGCCTCGTCACGGTCTTGTGCATGCACAGTGCTAAGAGCTCAATTTGCTGCAGGAGACCAGATGAGAGACTGGACAGAGGGGGACACCGATCCCCGGAACCAGCAACAGGTAAATCAAGGTAGACTAAGATCTGACAACGTCCTATGGAAGACTACCTGCCCCAGGTGAGGACAGTGTAACATATAATATGACTACTGACTGACGTACCAAGCAGCCCGCTACTTTTCCTGTTTACAATACGTCCTCAAGTACGCATCTTTGGATCCGATTGGTAGAAATTGAGATTTATTATTCTCACATCTTGTGTGAGTAAAGACTTGGGGAAACTGAAAGATGTAAGTCAATTTCCCAACCGGTTCGTGCTTCAAATCAGAGATAAACTACTTTTAATATGTCTATGTTAATGCCTTACTTATTACACAAACTGTTAAATATTTCACAAACATGTTTGAAACAACAATTTATACTGAAGCACGAACACAAGCAGCCGCTAGTGATCTTATGAAGGGGGTATGTGGTGGGTATGTGGAGGTATGTAGGGGGTATGTGGAGGTATGTGGGGGTATGTGGTGGGTATGTGGAGGTATGTAGGGGGTATGTGGAGGTATGTGGGGGTATGTGGGGGTATGTGGGGGTATGTGGAGGTATCTGGCCAACGAGCTGGAGTTCCATTTTAGCGAGTCAAAAGTACCTTAAAGAATACATTGTGGCATATTAAGCGCTTTGGTGGCATATTAAGCGCTTTGTTCCTTAATGCGCTGTTGCACAAACTGATCATATGCCTGTGCAACGTACAGCAACTGTGATACGGTTGTGATCACGATATATCTAGATACTAGCGTTGTAATAACAATTACAACGCTAGTTTAGCTAAAAACATTTAAATATATCAATATATTTATTCACTAAGATTAATAATATTAAATTTTAAAGACAATTATATTTAGATAAAAGAACAAATTATATACACAAAACCAGAATAATAAAAGAACACAACAAATACTAAAGATAATATGACAATTAATGTATAAACAACTGAGTCGACGACCTTGAGCTCTTCAACTCTGATTTAATTAAAACAAATAAGAAACACTTTCTAACATGTTAAGTTCAAGGCGAGACGAACCGCAAGACAGAACATCGAAATCACTATAAGTGAAAGGGTCCTGAGGCCAGATTCACGAAGCACTTGCGGAAGCACTTACGAACCTGCGGGCGATGAGTCACAATAACGTGGCTAAATTATGTTGACCAGACCACACACTAGAAGGTGAAGGGACGACGATGTTTCGGTCCGTCCTGGACCATTCTCAAGTCGACAATCGACTTGAGAATGGTCCAGGACAGACCGAAACGTCGCCGTCCCTTCACCTTCTAGTGTGTGGTCTGGTCAACACTTACGAACCTGTACATCTTTTCTCAATCTTTGGCGGCTGTTTACAATTATTAAACATTTGATGAGCTCCGAAGCACCAGGAGGCTGTTTATAACAATAACAACAGTTGATTGTGACAATCATTGTGTGTAATGATTGTTAACTGTTTAATAAATGTAACCAAAGCCGTCAAAGATTGAGGAAAGATGTACACGTTCGTAAGTGCTTGCGTAACTGCTTGGTGAAAATCTGGCCCCCCCCCTGGCTTTTATCCTCGCCGTGCTCTCTAGTAGCAGAGGATGCAACATTGCCTAAGAGGCAGACAGAGCAGTACGGCAAGAGAAACTCCCATATGTTCACAGATACGGCGTTGTAAGTTTCGTGAGGTATTTTCCACATATGCTTCGTTACAGTTCGAACATTAAAACGGGTAGACCAGATCTGAGTTCAAAGGGGTAATGAATCTCTTCGTTTGAAGTGGTCCCCAATAGTGTTATTGTTAGTGAACACGAACTGGAAATTTACTTGCGAAGTATGTCAGAATATTCCTAAGTTCTTTCCTAATAACATATTGTAAATAAACATGTAAATTTGACATATTATATATGTTCTTAGGAACTGTGAGAACCTCATTAATGAGTTTAAATGTGGTAGTTAAGAATCTCTTCAGAACTCCCGGACGCAGGTTCGAATCCTCGTCACGGCCCTTGTGGATTTGTTCATCTCTTCAGAATTTTCTAATATATCTTGCTAGGAAACGCATTAAAAACAAAAAATTCATGCAAAAACTTAACTTTAATATCAAATAATTTATAATCGGAACAAAGTTTAAAGGATCTATTTATTAGTTTTAATTGTATTCAGTTTATATATTTTTGGATAAAAAGTAAGATAATGTAAACCTATTCATGTGAATGTGGGTTTACGGTAAACTGACGTAATAAGTTGACTTCCAATAGTAGTAACTAATGTATCTAGAAGAGAAATTTAAGAGTTAACCTTGATTAAGTAAGTAAATGTCAGGTTTGAATGTTTATAATTATTTTTTGACAAATTTATAATTAAACGCGCCAATAGACGAGATTATAAATCTGACTGGACAACCCTGTTTATAAATTTTCGGAAAACCTGCTTTAGAACCGGCTGCAAAATCATTATAACATTATGATCATTAAAATGATCATTATAAGATCATTATAAACTTGACGCCTATTTAATTTTAATATATCTTAAAAATTTATTTAATTTGTCTTCCAGTTTCAACACGAAAGAAGACACGATATTCAACAATCTGAATTTAGAAATATCACTTAGAATACTATTGAGCTTATTACAATCGTCAATTGTGTTAAGAAGTACAATTCCACGACCTTTATCAGGTCTGGTAATAATGACTTTTTCATCATCTATCACATTCTTCAAGATATCAATATCTTTAGAATTATCTTGCTTTTTTTCTATCTGTCGATTTACAAGCATTTTTATAATAAGTTTTAGCCACAGGAGATATTTTATGGCAAATAGAATTGAAACTCTTTGAGCCATAATTATTACAAACAAGTAATTTGTGGTATAATTTTTCAAACCCAATTAAATGATAATTATAGTTTACCTTAAGACGAGACAAACAATAATCAAGACCCAAGATATAATCAAGGTAACACCTCCTTCTCTGCTTTTAAACAAAATTCTATTAGAGAAATATAAAATAATTTTATCGAGGCCAATTGGTTTGGACAAATCTTTTTTTTTCAATTTTGGACAAAATTTTGGACAAAACTTAATATATAGGAATTTCCGTTGATGAACGGATTTAATGGTAATAATTTTTTTTGCTAACTTTTTCAATTAACCTAATAGTCTTTCTAAGGTGAACTTAAAGTCATTTTCTTGCCGGGTGAAGCTAGTAAGAGAATTTTCCTCTTTCACTGTTGTTTTTCCTTTCCTTGTTCACTATTGTTTTCCACTGTTGTAGACTTGTCTACCTCTAAGTAGATTATTTTAAATTGTAAAAATCCTTAAATTTAACGAGTCTGTTCGCATAAATAATTAAGCTGTTTCTATATGTCCATTATTCAGATATTTCCATTAATGATTATGTTGTGTGTCACTGTTATTCTCTTGTTTATTCAGATTCATAACTATTTTATTTGTTTCAAACGATTGGGCTTGTTTACATTATTAATTCTGTTGTTTGTATACGTTAATAATTATGTTATTTAATTTAATTGATTCTGCCGATTGGTTACGTTAACGAGTCTGTTGACTGTTAACGAATATGTATTTGCTTGGTATTGGTGCTAACTTTTGCATTAGTGCCCCCAAAACACTGCCGACTGTCGTAGCTCACGTTTTCTGTGATATCTTCAATTTGTATACACATTTCACCATTTCTTCTGCTTACTTTGTCTCTGGAGATCATCATTTGGCTAATTTCGGCGCATATTTTAAGTCCTGTATGTAGTTATATTCAGTAAACAGATGAAAAAATATAAATACATGTCATTTTTTGGGGAAGTGGCTGCGTTTTGTCGAGTTTTGTTTTTTTAAGGCGAGGTGTCGGTCGAGGTAGTGACTGGGGCAATAATATTGTGCGCTGCCTCACTCTCTTGTCATTTCCGGCCTACAGTGGGTTACCTCTTTGGTCTTATAACAACTAAACAAAGGGAAAAAGCGTTTCAACAAACAGCTATCGCATCTTAGCTACATAAAGGGCGGTTTACAAACAGGCGGACACAAAAGATGAACGTTGTTATGAGGCATCCATCGACGTATTTTAGCCGATTACAGATGATTTTCAGTTGATTAGCCAAAGTCTGGCGCCTCTGAGCATTTTTTCACAGCTGATTCTGGGTGTAGTGGCTGTAAATAGTTGTCTGTGGGATGGTGTTAGCAGGCACGTATTGCCAGGTCCTCTCTCCTTCCTCGCTTATTACCCTCTAATCCAAGATATTTGGTTTGTTATGTCCATTTATAGCTTAGTTAACACTAGCCCCATTGAGAAGGTGCGGCCCACGCCTCGCGTCCCTACCTGCAAGCAGCTAAGGGGAAAAAACTCCCCTTCTCACCTACCTTTTCCACCTGGTCGGGCACCTTTCCCAATAGCTCGTTCAGCCGCTCAAAATCTCTTCCATTTACGTTATGTTTTCTGTCTTCCATCTTTGTGTTTATTTATAAATTTGAGAAGGCGTGAGCTTGAGGAGGCCTGAGTGACGGGATATTAATAATGTCCAGAGTTTTTACCCCGTGGTGAGGCCTGGGGCGGCGCCCCCCCCCCCTCACCACGCCCCCTCTCACAGCTATCGATGGCCAATCTAGGTGAGCGAAGTGTAACGGATCTTTACCCCGATAGGTTCTGCAATGCCCTAGAATGATGTGGCTTAAAGTTCACAAATACACGAGGTCCTGGGTGTCGGGGAGATGGGGGGTGGTGGAGGGGAGTGTGCCGTGGAGTGTGGCACGGCTCTCATAAGTGGCAGTGCCTCGCTACACCTGCAGGAGCCAACACCCGCCCGTCCCACTCCACTCCCACCCTCTCACTCACACACCGCCATCATGGTAAGTCCTCACACTGGACTTTTCTACGTCCAGAGTACACAAGCCCAGCTGTAAAGGGCATAAAGTGTGGGAGAAACAGAGTAAACTTTTAATAGTTGACGTTTCATCAGTACAATGGTTACAGAGGAAATGTCAACTATAGAAGTATTGGCTGGAGAGGATTGACTCGGTGCCGATCCTAAATCTGTACTCCTATGTTCACTCAGCAGTGATTGGGTACCTGGTTGTTAAACGATTGACGGGTCGTATTCCAGGGGAACAACTAGTAAGGCTTACCATGAGCTATGAAATGGGAAAGCTCTCAGCCTGCTAACAGGAGACAACAGTTCCAGTAGCCACTTGTGTACAAGGAAAAACTAATCTCTTCATGGACCTAGAAGGACAGACTGCAGACAGACTGCAGTATGTATGTCAGTTCGACCAGATGTTATAGCACATGTATACACTTATACCAACCCTTATACCGAGTGTCATGTATATAAGTCCAATCACTTATACTAACCCGTCTTCCTAACAGTGTCGCATTTTGACGTACACTCTACCTAAGGCTAAAAATAGTCGTACTAAAAAATGGAAGCGGCTCACGAAATTGACATACTGTCCCGTTGTCTATTTAGGGTCCTCTGGTAGGTTAGGATAAGGGCACTTTAGTACGGCAGTTTCTTGACGTTGAGGAACCTTAGCAGGACGGACTGCTTATATGCTCTACCTTTATCAACAGCCTCCGTACACACACACACACACACACACACACACACACACACACACACACACACACACACACACACACACGCACGCACACACACACACACACACACACACACACACACACACACACACACACAAGGTCCTTCAAGCGTCACAGTCAGCAGGACACATCCAGACAAAATCCAAGTTTGACCACCAGCCATCGCACTCTGTCCCGCTACCAGTGACAAGTGTCTCACCACCACACAAGAACACCTTGGAGACTTAATTGTCCTTGCTACTTGCAGGGTCAGTGTTCGATCCCCGATGATTCAACTGGCTGGATACCATTCCTTCACGAAGTGCTCATACCCCAGCTCCTTGTCCTCATATCCCAGCTCCTTATCCTCATATCCCAGCACCTTATCCTCATATCCCAGCTCCTTATCCTCATATCCCAGCTACTTATCCTCATATCCCCGCTCCTTGTCCTCATATCCCTTCCTAAAGCTATATAGTCATACTGATTTATCGTTTTCTCATGACAATTACCTTACTAATTGCTTTCAAGAATCCTGGCCACGCTCCGGGGCTGACAGTGCTGTCAGACACAGCAGCAGCTCATCTACGACAGAAATAGAGGCCCTTGTGTGTACCGAAGAAGATAAACTTTTTTGTAACTTTGAAAGCAAACAAGAAAGAGCAAGTCACCCCTTAAACCGCAGGAGAGAACGAGATGGTTGACACACAAAAAAACATCATTAGCTGCTTTGAAAACACATTACGAAAATAAGAGGGTTAGTTACCTTGGCACGAATCGAGAAGGAAGAACGGGTAGCTACCTGGAGAATACTCCACCAGATACCCATTGAAAAGAAAGAGGTCCATAGTACTTCAAGACAATGAGGGAGCCAAATAGTTACTTTCACAATTTAGTTCAAGAGAGGAGAAAGAAGAAGTTACCTTGCAGCACTACGAGAGAAAGGAAAAGAGAGAGTGTTACGAGAGGAAATGTTTGATTGCAATCCCTCTTGCGTGGGGGGTGAGAGAGAGAGAGAGAGAGAGAGAGAGAGAGAGAGAGAGAGAGAGAGAGAGAGAGAGAGAGAGAGAGAGAGAGAGAGAGAGAGAGAGAGAGAGAGAGCCCGTATCATACACCAGTCACCACATAATACACAGACCTCTCCATACACCCTACGCTTCGCACTGCAGTAACGATCCACAAGCAATGTATTTTAACAATAAGATCATTGTATGCTAATGGCTTGTATGGGAACTACACTCACCCCCCCCCCCCCTCGTCTCATTACTCTCTCATCCGGACACAACCTCGTACTCACCTACATGAAAAAGATCAAATTGTTATTTATTATTGATAAAAAACATTTACTAATATAAATATTGATAGTCGGATAAATATTTATATAACCGTCATTGGCATCATCAAAGTCATCTATACCTATAAGAATGTGATTATCTGTTCAAAGTTGGAAGCCAGACGCTTTGGGCTAGTCTCCCCCAGATTTGCCGAGGGGAATGGGCTGGGGTGTGGGACAGACATAGGTTGGTCGGGTTAAGCCCAAGTTAAATGTTTCTTAAAGCTTTCATAGCTTATCAAAGAGAATCATGTGTGAAATATGGCGTGTGAGTAACGTGGAGTTGTTTATCATAACAATATAAATTCTTAAGACCCATATAGTTCTTTTAGATAATAATATATTTTCTGAGAGAAGGGGGGAAAGGGTGAAATGGGGGTCATAGGTAGATGAATAGATGGGTGGATGAATGGATGGATGTATAGATGGGTAGATAAGGAAGGAAAGCATCAGGAGAAAGCGCCACGCCATTATGACTATATACCACTTGGAAACGTGATCAGGATAAGGAGTTGTGATGGGACGGAGGGGGGCGAACCACATGGACGGTCAGGGATGGAACGCCGACCTGCAACAAGCGAGAGACAGATACAGATGAATAGATAGATGGATAGACCTATGAATTGATAGACGGATATATAGATAGATGGATAGATTGGAAACAAACATGAACAACGCCGCAACCCCCGACCTAGGATATCTATAAGAGAAGATATGTGTGTGTTGGAGGAGGGATGCCAGGAGGCTGCAGTAGGCTCACGTAACTTTCCATGACGGATTGTGTGGTGAGTGACCCGGGCTTGATACACCCTATATATATTGCTGATTCAACAGCGATAATGTTGATTCAATGCGACTCGAGAATGTTTTGCCGAATGGGAAAGAGAACAGTAGGGATAAAGGAAGAGAGAAGGAGAGGGAGGATGGAAAAATCAGAGGGAGGGAGGGGAAGAAAGGGACCCGGGCACCGCCGGGTACATCCTCCTAGTTTATGAATAAACACAATCAAATTATAATTTACCTGTTCCTTGTGCATAGTGTACCTGTAGCTGTCTCTTCTCTCTCTCTCTCTCTCTGTGCATCTGATAGAACCGATATGTTATCGGCTATAACAGAAGCCTTTGGCAAAGGCTGCTGTGTGTTTGCCGACAGGTTGGGTGTCGCATCCCAGACATGTCTCAAATACAATGGGTGTAGTGTGTGTGTATAATGAGGGCTGACACTCTAAAGAGGTGGGTATCAAGGTAGATCCAGTGATGATATCATCAACACATACAGGCTATTATAAGTAGAATATGATTGTTAGAATTTTTTAATTTGTGAACATCAGTGTTAATGTTTTATACTACGCCAAGGAAAAATTAATCAGAAGTCCAATTAAGATGATATTCTAAGAATTGTTGTGAGGTTCCAACTGGCACTATGTCAAGTGGCACTCATTTTTCTTGTGCCAACATAGACTCGACAGTGATAGCCATGTGCCCCATTGATATCAGGATGCAAAGTTGGATGGAGCTAGCCCCAATATATCACGGCAGTTATTTTACTACTAAGATAACACGACAGTGATCAAAATACCAAGATAACCTGTCAGTTATTTCTATACCAGGATAAGATGGTAGTTATCAGAATATATATATTTGCATAGGAAGGAGGCCAGCCAAATCTAAAAGAATGAAGACATTAATTTTAATATTAACAAAAAACAGGAGGAAAAGGAGGTAAAGATGAAGCAGAAGCAGCAAAAATTCCTGCCTGCGCCCCCCCCCCCCGAAGGCTGCACTTAGCACGAGACTGCAGAAAAAATAATCACTCAAGGGGGTTCACTTAAAAGATGGTAGTAGCAAAGGGAAGCACTTTAGGGCCCACTTAAAATACAGTAGTTGTAAAAAGAAGCATTTAAGGACACACTTAAAAGATGGTAATAGCAAAGGGAAGCACTTAAGGACACACTTAAAAGAGGTAGGAGTGAAGGGAAGCACTTAAGGGCATACCAAACAGATGGTAGCAGTAAAGGAAATTTAAAAAAAAAACACATATGCCAGGTAAGTATAAACAAAGGCCAGGTCTGGAGAACAAAGCAAGGCAACGAGCCACACTCAAGTACACAAGACAGACTCCTCAAGACTCTCCAGTGATCAACACACTACTTGGTGCAGGTCGCGCCTGGCTGTGAGCTATAACCTAGTACTAGTATCCTTAAATAGTTTAGCCAGTGTAAAATTAGTTATCCTAACACATATACACATATACATTTAACGAACTATATGTAGTATCTATACAGCTTTTGTTACGTTATTATTTAATTCTGTATGTTCCCTTTTTATTGTCGATTAGTATTAGTTGTCTAACATAGCACTATTACTTGATATATTAGTTAAAAATGTAATTCATTTTAAATTTAGTGATAACTTCTAAAGTATATGCAATATTATTTTTAAGATTTCTAACATATACGTATAATTTATGTTTTTGAGAGATAGAGTATTGAATGTTATCTTTATTACTTTTCCTAAAAACTTCATTAGTTTTTAATAGAATTTTAGATTATGATTTAATGAAATTTTAAAAATTAAATATATAACCAACCATTGAAGGATTAAATAAAAAAATAAAGCACTCCACAGCACAAGGAAGTGCTCTACAGCCAGTGGATTTTATTTTGATGGCGTGTTCCTCTTTTTTTTCTAGCCTGGACCCGTAAGTGGCTCTAGATGACAAAGGTTGACAGTAGGTTGACTTGAGGTCCTAGACGGAGCAGACCTCAAACATCAACGGGGAAGGGGGTCCAAGCACCCTCTCAGGGAGCAGGGAGACTCGCCCACCCTTGGCTTCCTCCTGCTCCCTTAAGGTCTACCATTACCGTCTCCCTTAGGACGGGAGAGTAACAAAAACATAGACTGTTGTGAATGTTTTCAGGGAGGCAAGAGAGTGTAATACTGAAATGTTAGAATGATTTAACTTGTGTGTCACAATATAGGTTAAAATGGAGCATGGCCTCTGGCTACGGTGAAGAGGTAAGTTTTAACGAGTGCTTCTCTTCACTTTATTACAGTGAAGAGAAGCATGTACCATGCCCGCAGTACCATGCAAGATACAGTGCAAGCATCGATGGGCAAGATCACTTTACAATGTTCTCATGCAATGTGTATCAATAATTCATTAATTTTGCCGATATGAATATTAAAGCTTATATTTACAGGTTACATAGATTATTACATTAGATGTAAATATGGTAAATAATGAACCATATTTGTGGTTAAGTGGGCTGCGTTAACACAACCTCCCTCCAGCTGTGCTTAACAATCTCCACTTATCTGTCAGAACAATCAACCAAGATCGTTATATAAGTCAAGGATACCTGAGTCGGTGACCCTTACGGGCTATTCATGTCCGTGCCATCTCTTGGGTGGCTTAATCTTCGTCAAACAATCGAGTAGGTGAACTGGTGACTATGCTTCGGTAGTTATTTGCAGCGGTGAAGCACCTCCGAACTTCTCCAATTAACAGTTAAGCTGTTTGTAGCGTGATGATGTAGTCATTCTCTCTCTGGTGAACGGAAACTGGTCCGTACCACTCCCCTCTAAACCACCGCAATGTTAACACCGGTACTCACCTAGTTGTGCTTGCTAGTTGTGCAGTGAGCTCTGGCTCTTTGGTCAGGTCCTTGCATAGTTGTCCCCATCACTGCCGAGTTGATCTACGTCTGGCTATTGCTCTCTCCCTCCTTCCCAGTCTCAAGTGTAATTACTAGTCAGCCTGACCACCCTTCCGTTCAGTCATAACGGAATTGAACAATAAATTCCTTAATTAGACTCTAAATATTCCCGTTCTGACACGTTACATCCGGAGGGCTGGCCTCCTGGCTACAGTCCTTGTGACCAACGCTCTCCGTGGTGGAAAGCAGATGGACAGGAAGTATTTCCAGTCACAATCTTAGACTCCAGATTGGTTGATCGTTACGATTTGAGGTTTTTGCACAATTAAACTGAAGGATCTGACATATAATTAAGTCTTTGTTGGAAATACTCAAATAAGTTTCACATGGTAATTAGGCAAATGATACCTTAAATAGAAAGGAACTATTTCACAACGAGTCTGACAGCTGTTAATATATTTAAAATACCAGGAGCCAGATTCACGAAGCAGTTACGCAAGCACTTACGAACCTGTGCATCTTTTCTCAATCTTTGGCGGCTTTGTTTACAATTATTAAACAGATAATGAGCTCCGAAGCACCAGGAGGCTGATTATAACAATAACAACAGTTGAGTACGAAGTGTTCATGCTTGTAAACTGTTCAATAAATGTAACCAAAGCCGTCAAATATTGAGAAAAGATGCAGAGGCTCGTAAGTACTTGCGTAACTGCTTTGTGAATCTGGCCCCAGAGCCACAAGGCTAAGACATAGAAATATTCTAATTCCACATTCTTCACGCGTGAATGCAACGCTCTTGTTGAATTATGTATATATATGTATGTCGCGTTGTCACAAAAATTATCCTTCTCTCAAGAGTTCACATGAAAGCTGTTCCTGTGCTTGTGTCACAGTCGTCGGCGACACGGTACACGGCCCACCAGCACCGTAATACAAGCTTAAATGGAGTGCTTATTAAACAAAGGCAATTTAGGACTGGAGATTAAATTATAATTACCGACGGTGTTGTGGAGTAATCTGTAAACAGCTCTCTGCACAGCTGTGGTCAGTTGCAAGGTAGAGGACGCCCTCGGCCTGGTACCTCAGTCTCGGAATAATGCACTAATAGACAAGCGACGCTCGGAATGGTTCACTATCAGACACGTAATGACCGGAATGGTTAACTACCAGAAACGCAACGCTCGGAATGGTTCACTATCAGACACGCAACGCTCGGAATGGTTCACTACCAGACACATAATGCTGAGAATGTTCACTATCTGCAACCCATCCTCAGACCAAGTCCATTCAATCCAGCGGTCGACCCCACAGACGCATTCATCAAGTCTAAACGTGCTGTTCATTCAAAATAAGAATTGTCTCAAATATAGATAAATATTATTATATATTAACATATTGTGCGTATTTAGGCATTGGTTAAGTTAGGTCAGGTGTTTAGGTTCTGTTGGCGGTTATTGGTATTTGTAGTACATGGGTGAAGCATTTACAGCGTTGTAGTTCGAACAAAATTCGTCAGTGAAGCACTTGTTCCGGAAGTGTTCGAACGTCATCAGTTGTGAGTCGTGTGTAAACCGTTTTTCATTCATAAACAGCGGGTTTCAGTCATATCGCAACTCTGTAAACTCTTCACCCATATATATATATATTACAAGCACAAATAATCGCCAAAAGAACATGAAATCCTAACCTACGCCTAATTATATATATATATATATATATATATATATATATATATATATATATATATATATATATATATATATATATATATATATATATATATATATATATATATATATATATATATATATATATATATATATATTTAGCTGTAACGAATAATAATATTAAGTTATACCCAAGAACAAAACGATTTTTAATAAATAACACGTAAAAATTGATGAATGAGACTTAGGGGATGGTTGCTGCTTTAACGAGTCTGGCCTGAGGAGCATAAACAAGGGGTTTGGCTGTTGAATTAGCGAGCATTTGGTCTTTGTTGATGAGGACGGGCTGCGTAAAATAGACTGAATAGAAAGACAGACTGTTCCTTCAAGCTACAAGTATTACTTGGAAAGGCTAAGCCTCTCCTTCCGCTCATTAGAGTGTTTCAAACTTATATACCAACAAATACTAAATGGAAACTGGTCTTATTCCTAACATTTTATGAATTATAATTTTGCAGCAGCATAATAATTCTATGATGGTATTACACTGTTAGGTAGTAATTAATAATTATAATATGTTTTCTATATAAAATATGCTTAAGGCTTTAATACTCTTGTTTAACTAGATCTAGTGAGTGATAGCTTCTTATTCCCCGCACCACGAGGAATAAGCTCCTTGATAGTCACTCATCTTCTGTCTCGCCACCTCCTTGACCTCTAATCTCTTGATCCAAGAGGTCTATGATTTAGCTCTTTAGACACCGCTTGACCCCTGACCTAGCTTCCTCCGCCCTCGTGACCTATCACTCTTTATGTGGTAATGCAGCGAAGCTTTGATTTAGTGATCCAAGGAGTGATGACCCTTAATCCTGCTTCTCCTCCGCTATTGACGCTTGTCTCGGTGTTCTTGTCGTAATTTTTTATTTTGAATTTCTTGATCTGTGGTGACCCTTCACCAAGTGTTTCTTGATCTGTGGTGACCCTTCACCAAGTGTTTCTTGATCTGTGGTGACCCTTCACCAAGTGTTTCTTGATCTGTGGTGACCCTTCACCAAGTGTTTCTTGATCTGTGGTGACCCTTCACCAAGTGTTTCTTGATCTGTGGTGACCGTTCACCAAGTGTTTCTTGATCTGTGGTGACCCTTCACCAAGTGTTTCTTGACCTATGGTGACCGTTCACCAAGTGTTTCTTGACCTATGGTGACCGTTCACCAAGTGTTTCTTGATCTGTGGTGACCTTTGTCTGTGGTGATCTGTGGCTTATTCTACTGTGTTTAGCTTCAGTGTTGCTGACTCTAGTCTCTAGCCTCAGTGTTCCACACTAAGCCAAAAGTTCTTTTATTATAGTTCACTGACTTTATTTGACAGCATCAACTTACCTTTTTGGTCTCCAATTGCCTTTAATATTGTTTAGAGTGACCAGGAATGCATTAATATAATAGTGTATTAAGTGCTGTCTTTATTATGCCAAAATTTACTTAGAATTGTCTACATTCTCTTAAAACGCTTCAGAAATGTTGTCAATTACTTCAAAAGTCTTAAAAAAATACCCTTTAAAGGAATTTATTCTCATAAATATTAGAGCACCTTTGACCTTCCTCCATCCTAAAACATTAAACTTTTCCTCATCTCCTGAGACCCTTATAATCTTTTCATGTTATTTTATGACTTTTATGATAATCTTATGACACCATACAGACCTTTATCAACACTGGGCAAGTACAAGCCCACCTTGTACTTACACAACGCTAGTTACCTGAACCACCAGTGACTTGAGTTACTATTAGACCCCCACTCACCACCCATTAGTTCCCCCTTGTCCCCCACCCACCACCCTTTAGTGCCCCTTGTCCCCCACCCACCACCCTTTAGAGCACCTTGGCCCCCTACCCACCACCCATTAGAGCACCTTGGCCCCCACCCACCACCCATTAGAGCACCTTGTCCCCCACCCACCACCCTTTAGTGCCCCTTGGCCCCAACCCACCACCCATTAGAGCACCTTGGCCCCCACCCACCACCCTTTAGTGCCCCTTGGCCCCCACCCACCACCCTTTAGTGCACCTTGGCCCCCACCCACCACCCTTTAGTGCCCCTTGGCCCCCACCCACCACCCTTTAGTGCCCCTTGGCCCCCACCCACCACCCTTTAGTGCCCCTTGGCCCCCACCCACCATTTAAGTCTTCCATAGTAACACCCGGTCTATGTTTATTTTGTGTTTCAGACCGAGGAACTGGACGAAGAGAAGATGGCAAGTAAGTGTCTATATTCACAGCTATATCTTGTTAATCTTAAGTTATCTTTCCCTGTCTGTGTGTTATCTTCGTTATCTTCATAACTGTTCCATCGTTACTGTGGTTATCCTAAATATATTTACACGTAAATAAGTTTTTTCTCAATATTAATAACATTCCTCAGTAGAGCTCAGACTTGTAAGTTCCACCTTTAACCAAGTTTTGAAATCTGAGGTGGCTTTACTGATTGTGTTGTTGTCATAGTGACTCGCAAAGCTGTTATCCTAGTCAATCTTGCTCACTGTTATCCTAGTCAATCTTGCTCGCCACTCTTCAGTAGTTCTACTCGCTATACACCTGCTATCTCAACTGGCTCTCGTCACTCTACTTAACGCTAGATATCTTGTTATTCACCCTAGGTCGCTTTTGCTCGCTCTACGCGTTATATATAGGACTTAATAGGATTTATAACCTACGAAAAGGCGACGTTCAATGTTATCATGCTCGTCACACCCCAGTCACAACTGGACCTGGTGCTATCGCAACTGGAAATGGTGCTATCGCAACTGGAAATTGTGCTATCGCAACTGGACCTGGTGCTATCGCAACTGGACCTAGCGCTATCGCAGAATGCTAAGCAATGCATAATCGGTTCACTGAACGCATGATTGCCAGATTCAAATTCAAAAACTTTTTTCCTAAATAGTTGCACATTTATAATTGCCAATTTAGAAAGTTGCACAAAAACTAATCATATATACAAGAAATTCTAATCCACCAATCGTTGTTCATTATAATTATATCATACATTAGTAGATTTATTAAAATTTTGAAAATACAATATTTCTTTTAATTAAATTTTAGTTTAATTAATAGACTTGTAAATACGTAAATAAGTGTATATTAGAAGGAAGGGGATTAAGGAGATGAGGGTGATTTACACTCACACCAATCGTTGTTTACCTTGTGGGACCATGTGTAAATATTATTTGTAAATCAATAAAGTTATACCAGCTGCCAGAGGTGAGGCTTTCCATGCTGTTATTAGGCTGAGGTTTTAAGGGTACAGAGGTGTTATAACTTGGGGTTAGAAGTTAGAGGTTCTTGCTTCTTTGATGGCGGGATCCTCGTACCCTCGACCTTTCTGAACCTCAAAAACCTCCTCCTACTCACCTATGAGGATCCTCATAGTTTTCACCTCAAACATGTAAACCAAACCAGCCATTTCTCTTAAAAACAAAGCAATATAATTATCCAGGAACAATTTGCCGGGTGCTCGTCGATTTGAGTGATTATCCCTAAAGTGACTCAACTTAATTAAGCCCCTCAGATTAACATCAATTATTAACATCAATTATAATTATTAAATAGCGTATAATGCTGAGCGTATAACTGCAAGCGCTCATGTATAATAACAAAGATTATACAGGCGAACCTTCCTCCAAAGAGGTGTAGCGAGCGAGCATTGTTCGCCCGGAGTTAAACAGGTTCACGCCAACTTTACGAATATAAATTAAGAGGGAGAGAGAGTGGCGCCAATTTGCATGTTAATCGTATCGGTAAATGCACGAGGCTGCCGAAGAATGAGTGGCTTGCTGTGTGTGGAGAGGAGGCGTGTGTGTCGGCGTGGGACGGGGTGTGTCGGCGTGAGACGGTGTGTGTCGGCGTGAGGCGGGGTGTGTCGGCGTGAGACGGGGTGTGTCGGCGTGGGACGGGGTGTGTCGGCGTGAGACGGGGTGTGTCGGCGTGAGACGGGGTGTGTGTCGGCGTGAGACGGGGTGTGTCGGCGAGAGACGGCGTGTGTGTCGGCGTGAGACGGGGTGTGTGTCGGCGTGAGACATTTGTGTCGGCGAGAGACGGCGTGTGTGTCGGCGTGAGACGGGGTGTGTGTCGGCGTGAGACGGGGTGTGTCGGCGAGAGACGGCGTGTGTGTCGGCGTGAGACGGGGTGTGTCGGCGTGTGACGGTGTGTGTCGGCGTGAGACGGGGTGTGTGTCGGCGTGAGACGGGGTGTGTCGGCGTGAGACGGGGTGTGTCGGCGTGGGACGGTGTGTGTCGGCGTGAGACGGGGTGTGTGTCGGCGTGAGACGGGGTGTGTCGGCGTGAGACGGGGTGTGTCGGCGTGAGACGGGGTGTGTCGGCGTGAGACGGGGTGTGTCGGCGTGAGACGGAGTGTGTCGGCGTGAGACGGAGTGTGTCGGCGTGAGACGGAGTGTGTCGGCGTGAGACGGAGTGTGTCGGCGTGAGACTCATTAAACCAGTTCCAATCTTACCGGAATAAACAAATCTGCTATAAATTTGACGTATCTGTAAAACAAAAGCGCTGCAATATTGATGTTTTCTATGCATTTGCTTCAGTAGGTTAGGTTAGGGTGCTAGATTTCGCACGTTTCTGTTGAGGTAAAACAGTAGAATTTTTTGACGTAGAGACAAATTAAGAGAATGGGCTGGCCAGACTCACCAAGAAATCCCATTTAGACACAGAGCAACACGGCAGCAGCCATGAGAAGGCTTTGATTCTTAAATTCAAGAGAAGTCAATCTAAGATAATCTGATGTTTGCTACCAGCCGGGGTGAGTTGAACATTACCCCCTGTTACTTTGAACACCATCACCTCACTCCTCTTCAGACATTCTCATTATAACTCATTTTGTCGGGGACAGGCAGCCTGTGTATATGTATCAGTCCCATCCTCCTGTTTTGATGGTACTAATAGGAAGGATGAGGATAATAGTACATATACCGACGTACGGCGCAAATTTGACACTAGAAATCGGTACTATTGAATTTGTACAAACCGGGAAACTATTTTCAACTTATATGACAAACTAAACTAAACTAACCTTATCTAACTTTTCTCGGCTTAAGTTACGCTATCTGAGGCCTAATATAGAACATGTGTGCTATATTAGGTCTAGGCATATTTTAAGTTTGTGTTTAATTTCATTTTTTTCGGATTTTATAAACTGAATAGTACAAAGTACACACACACATACACACACACACACACACACACACACACACACACACACACACACACACACACACACACACACACACACACACACACACACACACACACACACACACACACACACACACACACACACACACACACACACACACACACACACACGTACGTTAGGCTTGTATTGAGGTGACCCCCCCCCCCAAAGTCGAACAAATGACCCCTTGGTACAATCCCACAGCAAGTTGACTAACGTCCGGGTACCTACTTACTGCTAATGAACAGAGGCATTTGACGACAGGCAACGTGCCCAGCCGTTTCTCTCCTGCCCGGGGTTTAAACCCGGGAGTCCCAATTGTGTGTCGAGAAAAACCCATATATACTTCCGCTAAGCAGCCACCCACGATATAAAAGGTATATTTTACCGTATTTTAACAGACTTTTGGGAAGAATTACCTATGTTGTACCACCCGAAAACGGGTAAATTCGTTGATCGAGATACCTGGTTCACCCTGACGTAGCCACTGAGGCACACACGCCGGAAGGAAGTCTGCAGAAAGAATAATTTCTTACGGTCTGGCCTGCCTGTCTCAAGTTATAGAAAATGCTGAGAAAAAAAAACTGGTGTTTTAGGGATAACTAGCGCAATCGCAAGGTGTGGCCGCGGTACAATTCGTTTTAATAACTAATTCGTTATGTCGGGGGGACAGGCAGCCAGTGAATATATACATAATAAACTTATATTGAGGACTATTTCTATCGTCGAACTACTGACCCTCCTCAAGCTACAACCCCACCGCGAGTTGACTAACTCCTGGGTACCTATTTACTATTAATTATAAATGCTTTGGAAATAGGGGCACTGGATGATATAAATGGGAACAGGTTCTTGTAAACAAAGTCTTAAAGAAATGGGTTTCTGAAGATAATGTAATCACCTAACCTAACCTCTTCCTAGGCCTAATTGAGGCAAATCTAGGCCCCAATATACGCAATTTTACGCCCCGCTACAATACCAATAGTACACAAAGTGGACTACTTAAGGCGTCACAATGAACTTGCTGTACGCTTCACCTGAGAAATGTCTTCTGTGTAGATTAAAGTAATATATTGTGTTCATGTGTATTGTTTATAACACTGAGTGTGTTCGTATGTTGGTGTGAGTGTAACACTCCTACACACACACACACACACACACACACACACACACACACACACACACACACACACACACACACACACACACACACACACACACACACACACACACACACTACACACTACACACTACACACTACACACTACACACTGCACACTAGCCAGGCCAGGCCTCACCCCTACCGTCTCCTCCACCAGTGCTGCGGAAGGCCTTCGCCATGTTCGACAACGGGAAGACCGGCAAGATCGAGAAGGAGAAAATCAGGACCATCCTCAACACCCTTGGGGCGAACTACATCAACGAGGAGCTCGAAACCCTCCTGGTAGACAACGACATAGAAGGTGAGTAGATGGGCGCGGGGTGACAGCTTGCGGGGTGACAGCTTGGGAATTGGGTGAGGGGTGACAGCTTGCTGGGTGAGGGGTGACAGCTTGCTGGGTGAGTGAGGGGTGACAGCTTGCTGGGTGGGTGAGGGGTGACAGCTTGGAAAATGATTGAGAAAACTGGAGAAGTTAACAGAGAGCCAAGTAAATCAGAGAGAGAGAGAGAGAGAGAGAGAGAGAGAGAGAGAGAGAGAGAGAGAGAGAGAGAGAGAGAGAGAGAGAGAGAGAGAGAGAGAGAGAGAGAGAGAGAGAGGGAGAGAGGAGAGAGAGAGAGAGAGAGAGAGAGAGAGAGAGAGAGAGAGAGAGAGAGAGAGAGAGAGAGAGAGAGAGAGAGAGAGAGAGAGAGAGAGAGAGAGAGAGAGAGAGAGAGAGAGAGAGAGAGAGAGAGAGAGAGAGAGAGAGAGGGGGTAGGTATATCTACTACAAGTACTCCTAATTCCTAGCCATATACACTAGCAAGATCTTTCCACAGCCTCTCCCAAGGCTCCATCCTTTCATCTCCTGGCCATAATCAACCTTTGAGATTTTCCACAGCCTCCCATACATCCTCACCATAAGCGTCCAGCCGGTAACCAGCCAATCACTTCTTCACAGGCACTGGCAAGTTGGATTTTGATTCGTTCGTCCGCGTTGTTGGCCACTTCCTAGAAGAGCAAGACGAGGAGGCGATGCAGAAGGAGCTGAAGGAGGCCTTCAGGCTGTATGATAAAGAGGGCGAGTATCTTTCTGTTTAAGTGCGATGGATTGTGTGTGTCACAGCTGTAAACGGAGGAGCCGGTGAACACACACACTACTCTCTATGTGCACGCACTACTCTCTGTGCGCACGCACTACTCTCTGTGTGCACGCACTACTCTCTGTGTGCACGCACTACTCTCTGTGTGCACGCACTACTCTCTGTGTGCACGCACTACTCTCTGTGTGCACGCACTTCTCACTCTTTACACTCTAGTTCGTGTATACACTCGCTAATTTATTTATACACTTTAATGCAAACGGGTATATACTAACCTTTGAATACACTAATTTCATGTACAAATAAACAGAAATACACACTCACACATTCGTGGCTGAGTGAATAGCGCTCGAGGGGGTAGTAGGCCTAATGGCCCAGGTTCGATTCCCAGCGGAGGCGGAAACAAATGGGCAAAGTTTGTTACGCTGATGCACCTGTTCACCTAGCAGTAAATAGGTACCTGGGAGTTAGACAGCTGCTACGGGCTCCTTCCTTGCGATGTGTGTGTGTGTCAGAGAGAAATATATGTAGTAGATATACGAAAAAAATAGATTAGTTAGAAAGGGGGCGTCCAAGACTTAATAGCTCGAATCTGCAGACACAAATAGTAAATACACACACATGACACACACAATTGACTGACAAACACATGAGGTGGTTTAACCCCAGTGTTATAATTTTTAGAATAATAGCAACAGAGATTTCATTTTCAACGTTGCCTTTAGTACAACACAGCCTACTGCTTGTCCCACTTGCGTACGCATGAATGTGCAATAACCTAAAGATCTGATATCGACACAGACCTTAAAATACACCTGGCCTAACCTAAGATAACCCAATCTATCCTAATTAACCCACCCTAATTAACCCAAACAGCCTACCCTAAGCAATCTATCTAACCAAGCCTAATTCACACGGACAGATGTAACTATATCACCTAAACAATTCGTTGCAAATACGAATTATTATTGCAAATTTGCAACGAATTCGTCATAAAACAAAAAAGTCATAAATTTCCCTTGCCAAATACTGACAAATTCCCTAATATTTCTCTTAGAATATATTGAAAATTCCCCCCCAGGCTAATATATCCCGCAAAAAAGGGAAATAAATAATCGGCCACGATATATCAGTGCAGAGGCAAGGATTGATCGCCCGCTGCGGGGTATACCTGAAGTATACCACCGGATAGATTAGCGTGAAGCTGGTGACGAGGGAGAGAATGGGATCAGCGAGAAGGATAGATGATGATAGAAGTGGTGAGGACGTGGCAATGTTTCCCCCGAGTTACTGTTGCACCTGTTGGGATCACCTGTTACCATTACCTGTTGTGAGCATCTGTTATCATTACCTGTTGTTATTACTTTGTCTGTTGTCACTACCTTGGCTGTCGCTACTTTACCCGATGTTATTAGCTTACCTAGTATTATCTACTTTATCCGCTGTCACCTACTTTAACTGTCACCTACTTTGCTCGCTGTCACCTACTTTACCAGCTAACTTTCCTAGTGCAGGAGTAATAAATATGGAGGCCTACGACTTCGCTAAAGGCAGCCGCTGGAAATGTGTGTATGTGTGTGTGTGTGTGTGTGTGTGTGTGTGTGTGTGTGTGTGTGTGTGTGTGTGTGTGTGTGTGTGTGTGTGTGTGTGTGTGTGTGTGTGTATGTTTGTTTATGTATGTATTTACTATTTGTTCCTGCAGAATTGAGATATATTAGCTCTTGGATCCCGCCTTTCTAACCAATCTATTTTTCTTTTATTATATCTACTACCTATATTTCTCTCTAACACACACACGCACACACACACACACGCACCCACCCACCCACACACACACACACAAACATACACACACACACTCACACTCCGTGTGAACGTTTGGTTCACCGTCAAGCGCCATGAACTCGTTAGTGCAAACTGGACCCTGTGATTGAACAGGACTGCCAATGTTCAGTGGTTGGCCAGTGAGTGACAGGTGACCTGCTCGCGACTGACGCCCCAATTTGTATTCCACCACCCGGCAACACCCACCCAGTGACCGGGGCAATCACTGCTCCCAACACTGCAACGTTTCTATCAGACAGTGATCGAAGCCTCGACTCTGAGACACATGTTCTTCCCACCCGAGTCCTGTGATGTTAACCATCTCTATCGGACAGGAAATTCCTGCATATGTGTTGCTTAAAAAGACAAAAACTTTGGATGCGCCAAAATTTGCGAATCCGTGTGAATTTTTACCACCATACACAGCGTAAACAAACTGCTCATTCATCAGCCAACAAAACCGGGAATTTGCATTGAATAAATGATGTCATCTCCATAAGATTAATATCATCACCAATGACACAAATCCAGTCTCGCCATTAAACGATAACTGCTTCACTATCTGTACAGGAAATGATGCGCATTTGCCCCCCGGCTGAAACTTTATGTTGATAGGAATGGTAAAATTACGAGTTAATGAGGCCTGGTGGTGGATGGAGGGTACATAGGTGGATCTACCCTCCGGGTGGTGGATAGAAGGTGCACAGGTGGATCTACCCTCAAGCCTGTGATCAATATGGACCTCATTTTCTTTACTCCCAGTTCCCGGCGACTTACGACACAAAACGCCATAAAAAACGGGAAATTTCCGTGTCGATAAAACTTGCAAGAGATAATTATTATCCCCCCACTCTATTTTTATTATCTCTCTCTGTTACGTGTCAGTCCTCCCTCTTCATCATTCTGGTTAACAGCTGCTCGCTTGCTACAATTATATTACATTCTTGTCTCGAGGTGTCGAGTTGAATAGTCGAACACGAGAAGAGGAATTTAATGTATAACGAGTGTCGGGGATTAATGTAGAGGGCGACCAAGTGGTATTGACCAAGAGTCTGCATTCTATCTTATTAGATGTATATAAACAGGGAGGAAATTATTGGTTTGGTTTTGGGGTTAAGGCCTATCCACCTCAGGAGGGTTACTAAGATCTATCCACCTCACAATAACTTACTGATCAACCAGCAAGTATACCGCAGTTCTGAACGGAGTTCAGGACTAATGTCAATTCCGAGTGCTTATATACCGAGAAATGGGGGTACGTCACAGTGTATATATCCCTCTCAGTCCTCTGGCTGTGTTTTTCGACATTTTGAGAACGCGTCTCTACATTAATACACTTATAACAAGTGTGGATATTCATATGGGAAAATTGCTAAAGCAATTGCGCAGTGTTAGCCCCCACATGGTGGCCATTTTAAAACTATTTTTTAATTATTGGAGGTCATCAAATTAGTTACAAAGTCTCTGTAATGACTTCGTTATATAGTCTAATGGCTTGGCGTTTTCTCCTGATAGTTCCCTTCCCCTCATGTTTCGTAAGATGGGCAATGTAGTTAGTTCAAACATGGAGTGTGGTTACCGTAGAGTTATATAATGAACCGCCCAAATGCAGACTGCATCCGGAGTCTGCCAGTGCAGACTGCCTATCAGATGCCTCTGTATGACTAACCATCCTGTGTGATTGGGATTTTTTTAGCATCGCCTAGTTAGCTTTTTTGACACACTGTACTCCACTTCATATAGTCTAGGGTAGCTGCACTAATGCAGATGTACCTCATATCTTAATAAAAAAAAAATGCAGATGTACCTAAACGTGTTAATGACAAAAAGAAAAGGGCATGTTATTAAATGCGTCAATAATAGAAAGGCAGTTTTCATACGCAATGCGTTTTTGGTCTATATTTCCGAGTCTTATTCAATCTTACCAAAACTCGAATGACCCGGCGGTCATATTTACAGCATCCATCACCGTAGCTTCAGGCATTCGAACCTGGGTCGCCAAGGTGGAAGTTCAGAACTGTATCCACTCGACCACTGATATGAGGTAACGGAATACTTTGAGGCTGACATGCGTACATTATACCCGTACATTAGAAGAGTTTACAGTTATTTTAGCGATCCCTGATCGCTTAAATCGCTTGGACACCGTTGGGGTTCACATAGTGAACAGTTTCCGTGCACAATTTCAGACCCAACGAGGATGGATGGTGTTAATATGACCGCGGGGATTCTTAGGGCTTTGACGAGAATTAGCAAGACGTAATCTGAGATACAGACCAAATAGTAATTACTAGTAACAACTGTAATTTATAATGAGTACGTTTACAAATTCAGTTCACGGAATACAATAGCAGTCTAGGGTAATCACACGCCAGGATTGAAGTAACTCTCCTTATTACCTCGTTATTTATTACCCAGAATCAAATAACATCACTCTCGCCATCACAGCTAGTTCTAAAATAAGCTATATGTTAAAGTGGTGATGGAGAAGAATGTGTTGGTGTGGTGGGAGACAGGTGGCGGGTCCCGTAGAGTGAGAGACTCTACACCAAACTACTTCAACCATAAGACAACTGTTTATATCATCATTATTTTTAGAGCGCTTCAAGACAACGTCATTTGATGCGAAGACCGAGGGGGAACCACTAGTCTAGGAGGATCGAGAGGGGAGACAAATGTGAGAGAAAGGAGAGGAAGAAGGGAACGAGGGAATGAGGAGAAAGGAGTGGAAAAGTGAGGGGGAAAGAGGAAATAGGGGAAGAGGAAGGCAGAGTTTTACACAACAGGAAAGATAGAAGAGTACGATGGGAGAGCAGACATGAGGGAATGTATGAGAAAGATGAGAAAAGCTTGTGAAGGCTTAATGAAGGGAGAGGAGGGATTAAAAACGTAGAGAAAGATAAGGAAGGTAATTATCAGGAGAAACCACTAACCCTTCATGACTGTACAGCACTTGTAAGGGATAACGGGAATAAGCGAAAAGGAAAATATGGGAGCTGTTAAAAAAAAGTTAACTGAGGTTAAAACGTAAAGGGAAAGTAGTGCAAAGCCGAAAGAGGGAGATAACTGGGTAAGGAAGGAGAGATATTGGAGGGAGGAGTCAAGAGATGAAGATACGTGAGAAAAACGAGGAATATTGTAAGAGAGGGAAGGGAGAAGGAATGATATAAGAATGGTAAATGTGACGAAAGCTGGGAGAGAGAGAGAGAGAGAGAGAGAGAGAGAGAGAGAGAGAGAGAGAGAGAGAGAGAGAGAGAGAGAGAGAGAGAGAGAGAGAGAGAGAGAGAGAGAGAGAACGACGATGAAGGCTTACTAAATTCCTTATCCAGACCTCTTCCAAGTGCTATATAGTCGTAATGGCTTGGCGCTTTCCCCTAACAGTTCCCTTCCATTGCCAAAGAAAATGAGCTAGAGAGAGAGAGAGGGCACAAGCAACTGTATAACACCAGAGATTCCACCCACAGAGTATAGGACAGACCGCTGGAAAGGCGGGATCCAAGAGCTATGTCTTGAAGAGGTCTTGATGCTGGAACAAATAGGTGACTAAAAATAAGTGAGCACTCACAAGCGCACACACACGCACGTACACACACGCACGTACACACACACACACACACACACACACACACACACACACACACACACACACACACACACACACACACACACGCACACACGAGCGCACACACACACACACACAATAAAACACGCCTCGATCGCATCGCATAAAAGCATTCCCTTCTAACTTTACAATTTTCCCTCGTTGCATATATCCAATTTATAAATATCCAAAAAGGCCGGCAAGAAACACAAAGCTAAGCATAACAAAGTCTAAGGAACACACATATATATCTCTGAGAGCGCACCCTCGCCACCCGATCCTCTCCTGAAAATCTTCAAGTGAAATAAAATAAAACTGCCTTCTCAAACTCCTGTCAATTTACAATCATGAAATTCTATATCCCGCAGTAAATAACGCTTCCCTGAGTTCGAGAATTTCAAGCAAGTTTTCCGGCAACCGAGAAAGCTAGCCACGTAAATTTTCTGGCCCGGTGTTGTTGTTTTTTTTCCCTCGTGGTCGGGGGTCCGCCTTCCGAAAACAGGTCGGGTAATTTCGGTGAAAGTTTCAGCTAAGGATAATTCGGAAAAATTCCCCTCCCCCGGGGAAGAGTGTTCCAGCGCCAAGGCGATGTCTTTTAACATTAATGTCGATTTACGGTAAGTTACGATGCTAAGTCGACGATTACCCGTCTCCCTTTATTGCGCTGTGACCCCGCGTTCCTTTTCTGGATGTCCACAGGAGTGATTATGAAGGGCCTGGTGACCAGGCCATCATGGCCTGGTTATGATCATCCTAGAGGGCCCCTGCTGGCCATGTGCTGATCCTAGGGGACCATGTTCGCCAGATTGTGATCCTAGAGGGCCATGATGGCCACATGGTGATCCTGAAGGGGCCATGATGGCCACATGGTGATCCTGAAGGGGCCATGATGGCCACATGGTGATCCTGAAGGGGCCATGATGGCCACATGGTGATCCTGAAGGGGCCATGATGGCCACATGGTGATCCTGAAGGGGCCATGATGGCCACATGGTGATCCTGAAGGGGCCATGATGGCCACATGGTGATCCTGAAGGGGCCATGATGGCCACATGGTAACCCTGAAGGGCCATGATGGCCACATGGTGATCCTGAAGGGCCATGATGGCCACATGGTGATCCTGAAGGGGCCATGATGGCCACATGGTGATCCTGAAGGGGCCATGATGACCACATGGTGATCCTGAAGGGGCCATGATGGCCACATGGTAATCCTGAAGGGCCATGATGGCCACATGGTGATCCTGAAGGGGCCATGATGACCACATGGTGATCCTGAAGGGCCATGATGGCCACATGGTGATCCTGAAGGGGCCATGATGGCCACATGGTAATCCTAAAGGGGCCATGATGACCACATGGTGATCCTGAAGGGCCATGATGGCCACATGGTGATCCCTTCATGTACCAGAATCATGTTGTGAGAGAAAACCAGCAACTTTGGAAACAACTGTGGTGCTTTCTATAATTAATTATAGCTCCCTCTGAGAAGTACTGACTTCCCCCAATTGCTGGTGACAGGTCTCTATCGTGGAGATTCCCTTCAGTCTATTTTGGCCTCATGAATGCGCCATTTTATTACTACATTGACGACTAGAAGACATATGGATGAATTAAAATAAAACTCCTTAAAACACCCTATTACTGAGCTAATATGATTATGTATATATATATATATATATATATATATATATATATATATATATATATATATATATATATATATATATATATATATATATAATAATCTGATGTGAACCAAAACTTCAAGTTCATAAATGCTCAAAAAAAAAAAAAAAAAAACAAAAAAAAAAACAGGTAATCTGAGCCCCCACAGGTAACTCCCAAAGGTAACCTAACCTTCACACTTAATCCCAGCCCCACCGGTAACCCTTACAGGTAACCTAATCCTCACAGATAACCTAAGCCCCACAGGTAATCCTCCAAAGATAACCCCACCCCCTTCAGGCATCCCCACACAGACCACAAACCCCTTCGCAGCTGACAGAAACCCCACTAAGGGTTCCCGGCAAGTGTCCTCAGGGCGCCCCGTAATGGCAGCACCTTCCCTTCGTCTACAGGTAACGGCTTTATCCCGACGGCGGCGCTGAAGGAGATCCTGGGTGCCCTCGACGACAAGCTCACCAGCGCCGACCTCGACAACATCGTCGAGGAAATTGATGAGGATGGTTCTGGCACGGTCGACTTTGACGGTAAGGAATGGAGACCAGGATGAGGGGAGAGTAACATGAGGGGGAGAGCAGAATGAGGGGAGGACTGGATAAAGGGAAAAAAGGGTGTGCGACGAATAGGATGAGCAGGGTGAAGTGAGAACACGATAAAGGAGAGAACAGAATAAGAAGAGCGCAGAGAGCAGAGAGGGGAGAGCAGGAAGTGAGAACAGGGAGAGGGCCGGGAGAGGAGAATGACGCCGGGGTGCAGGGAGGGGAAACAGAGGAAAGAATAAAGATTCCCTAGAAAAAGGTAGTTCGAGTTAGGGAAATTACACCAACCTGACCGGAAAGAGAAGGCTGATAAGCGGAAAATAGAAACTGACAGAAGGCTAAACAAAATACATGAAACAAAAATTGAAACGAAAGGAATGAGACGGGAATACGAACGAGAGACGGGGAAGTGAGGCGCGGCCGAGGTGGTATTAAGGGGTATTGTGGTACATGGGGGATAGGGGAAGGAGGGGGTAGAAGTCTGGTCTGCGAGTCAAGATGTTGATTGCAATATTGTGAAATGTTATTGCCGCTCCTCGCTCTCACCAAGCCGCTCTGGGACGCCTCCCCAAGCCGCCCTGGGACGCCTCCCCAAGCCGCTCTGGGACGCCTCCCCAAGCCGCTCTGGGACGCCTCCCCAAGCCGCTCTGGGACGCCTCCCCAAGCCGCTCTGGGACGCCTCCCCCAAGCCGCTCTGGGACGCCTCCCCCAAGCCGCTCTGGGACGCCTCCCCCAAGCCGCTATGTTAAGAGAGGGTTAAGAACTATCGTGGCGAATTAGTCTGGACGCTAGAGCGACGGTCTCGCTTCATGCAAGTCGGCGTTCAATCCCCGACCATCCAAGTGGTTGGGCACCATTCCTTTCCTCCTTCCCCCCCCCGTACCATCCCAAATCCTAATCCTGATCCCTTCCAAGGGCTATATAGTCGTAGTGGCTTGGCGCTTTCTCCTGACAGTTCCCTTCCCTTCCCTGTTGAATTAAGTTCCTTTAACATGCACCAGACACAGCAACGCATCCTCCTTAATGATAGTACTTGCGGTAACCATTTGGTCAAACGTACCAATATGTAGTGATGGACCGCCAGAAAGTACCAATATGTAGTGATGGACCGCCAGAAAGTACCAATATGTAGTGATGGACCGCCAGAAAGTACCAATATGTAGTGATGGACCGCCAGAAAGTACCAATATGTAGTGATGGACCGCCAGAAAGTACCAATATGTAGTGATGGACCGCCAGAAAGTACCAATATGTAGTGATGGACCGCCAGAAAGTACCAATATGTAGTGATGGACCGCCAGAAAGTACCAATATGTAGTGATGGACCGTCAGAAAGTACCAATATGTAGTGATGGACCGCCAGAAAGTACAAATATGTAGTGATAGACCCCCAGAAAGTACCAATATGTAGTGATGGACCGCCAGAAAGTACCAATATGTAGTGATGGACCGCCAGAAAGTACCAATATGTAGTGATGGACCGCCAGAAAGAACCAATATGTAGTGATGGACCGCCAGAAAGTACCAATATGTAGTGATGGACCTCCAGAAAGTACCAATATGTAGTGATGGACCGCCAGAAAGTACCAATACGTAGTGATGGACCACCAGAAAGTACCAATATGTAGTGATGGACCGCCAGAAAGTACCAATATGTAGTGATGGACCGCCAGAAAGTACCAATACGTAGTGATGGACCACCAGAAAGTACCAATATGTAGTGATGGACCGCCAGAAAGTACCAATATGTAGTGATGGACCGCCAGAAAGTACCAATACGTAGTGATGGACCACCAGAAAGTAACAATACGTAGTGATGGACCACCAGAAAGTACCAATATGTAGTGATGGACAGACAGAAAGTACCAATATGTAGTGATGGACCGCCAGAAAGTACCAATACGTAGTGATGGACCGCCAGAAAGTACCAATACGTAGTGATGGACCACCAGAAAGTACCAATATGTAGTGATGGACCGCCAGAAAGTACCAATATGTAGTGATGGACCGCCAGAAAGTACCAATATGTAGTGATGGACCGCCAGAAAGTACCAATATGTAGTGATGGACCGCCAGAAAGTACCAATATGTAGTGATGGACCGCCAGAAAGTACCAATACGTAGTGATGGACCACCAGAAAGTACCAATACGTAGTGATGGACCACCAGAAAGTACCAATATGTAGTGATGGACCGCCAGAAAGTATCAATATGTAGTGATGAACCACTAGAAAGTACCAATATGTAGGTTCCAGTGTCACAATCGCTTCAAGACCCCATACCACAACGCTTCTTTAGGCAAGCAGTTTATATTTGTAGTGAGTTAGTTACATATAACGTTACACCCATCCTGGCGAGGCTGGTGTTGCAACACAAGAAGCTGTTACCATTATGATGTGACAAACACACTACGCCCGATGAAACACTGCTGACTAATGGATCACATCTCCTGTTATTAACTGATGATTAGCCAAGAGAGATAGGATAATAGAAAATGACAAGATTGGAAACATCATCACTGGAAATGAAAAGATTGGACACATCATCATTGGAAATTACAAAAAAATGAAAGCAACAGAATGGAAAAGACTCGCTTGGAAAACCCATGACTGGAAATGACATAATTGGACATGGCAATACAAGACAATAGGAGCTAGGGCGACGCAAGGCATAGGATCATGCAAGAGTGTTTGAATGAGGCGAGAGGGACATAACGCAAGAATGAGAGAATCAATCAAGACAAAATGAAACAACAGGGACAGAATGAGACAAGAGAGATGCGACGAGCCACGAGAAGAAAGAAAGAAAGAAAGAGGTGATCCGAGAAAGTTTTATCAAAGACCATCCAGATCAGAGACAAGGCAAAACTAAACGTCTTGACTAAGCCAGACGCCGAGCTCAGACCAAACGAAGGGTCAGCGAGGAGACGGAGCAAGAAGGGTGAGTGAGTGAAGGGAGGGTGAAGGGTGAGTGAAGGGAAGTAGAGGGTTAGAGTGAGAGTGAAAGGAAGGTGGAAGATGCGACTAACTGGTAGGAGAGGGAAGGGAGGGAGGGAGGGAGTGAGTGAAAGAAGGGTGAAGAAAGAGTGAGTGAAGGGAGAGAGTGAGATAAGGAGGGTGAAGGGAGAGAGTGAAATAAGTGAGGGTGAAGGGAGAAAGCAAGAGAAGGAGGGAGTAGAGAAATGAGGAGAAACTACGATAAGATATACTACGAAGTTCGAGTTAAGCAAAAGACAGTGTAACGCGGATGATGGGAGAGTGAAGGGATGGAGCTGGAGAAAGACGAGAGAATGGAGACTAGAAAGAGATATGACGTAAATAGAGAAAGAGAAGACAAGAGAGAATAGATAAGCAAAGGGAGAGCCCCGTAATCCTTCCCCCCCTCCCCCTTTCCGCTCCCATCTCCCACCCTCTCCCCTTCCACCACCTCCACCCTCCCTCTATTACCAGCTGTACCCCGGCATGTAGGTGCGGGTGCTCACTCCCCTCTGAGGGGAGTGAAGGGAAGATTAGGGAGTATGGCATGGGAGGAGGAGAAGGAGGGGAGGTGGGAGACAAAGGCAAGACGAAGACTCGAAGAAGGGAAGGGAAGGGAAGGTAAGGTAAGGCGGGTTACGATAAAAATACATATTCCCTGCGTCATAATAGCGAGGTTATTTTCGGTAACCGAGATGAGGGTTGAGGGGAAGACCAAAGGTTGGTGAGCAAAAAAAAAGTGAGGAGAAAGTCAAGAGAAAGGAGGGAAATGAGGTCAGGTGAAGTGTGGTAGAAAGTTAGACGATAGGAAGGTCATGAGAACGGGAGAGTTGGTCATGAAAAAGAGGATAGAAATGAAGGAGAAATAATTAAATATATATATATATATATATATATATATATATATATATATATATATATATATATATATATATATATATATATATATATATATATATATAAGAAGGAATAATGTGTTTTCGACTGTTGGGTGTTCTTCAGTATCTAGACAGGCCCAGTTCCTGTCTATAGCTACTGAAGAATACCCATCTCATGTATCAGGCTTCTTGTCCCCACCAAAAACGAATTATATGTGAACCGTTGCTGGTGTCATCATTAAGACTCGCTGAAACATGTGTTAATGCCGTCAGTGTTGCCAGTGTTAACGTGGAGTGTCTCCGGCAGAGTTCATGGAGATGATGACGGGCGACTAGTCCAGCAGGTGGTGCCCTCTAGCGGCGCGGCGCTCAACCTCGCCTCGGGACCTGCCGTACCTCCTCCTCGCAAGTCCTCGGCTCCAGGCCTCCAGCTCCAAGAACTTCCAACCCTTCCTTCTCCAGCCCTCGTCCCCATTAAGCCCTCACCCTTTAAACCCCAAGCCTATAAAACTCTTAGACGCCCTCCTTGGAAACCCCCAACCCTTACTCTCAAGTCTCAAACCCCCCTTACTCTCCACCCCATTTCATTCGCCTTTCAGCCACCAGCCCTAACCTACACCCCCCCTCCTCTTCCCCAAGGTTTCCTGCACTACGCCTCAATACGCGCCTCGTTAACTGTGTGTACACACTGAATTACGCAACTCTAATATTATTTACAAGTCAAATATTTTGACTCATGAAGGTCTTTTTTCCTTTAAGTTCCCGCAGAAGTGTTGCCAAGAGGGGTTGGGCTCCTGTAACCCGCTCTCGCCCCGCGGGAAGGTTCCTCAGTCACATCTTCATTCGATTCATTCCTTAGATGAGAGTGATCTAACTCCTTGACTCAGTACATAACAGAGGCCCCGATATATATACTGGAAATTTACCCGTTTGTCAAGCGCCTCTACACCTACCCTTCCCCTCCCTAAATCATTTATTACTTAGTACAAAATGAGGGAAACTGTCGAAAAAAAACTGACACTCGAGCGTACAATCTCTGCCAGAAGGGCTAAGATGGTTCTTAATACTTCTTGAAGTATGTGTGTCTTACCAAGTCTTCTTATGGAGTCCCTGTCAATGCTTACCTTCTAACTCATCCGGGTACTAAATCATTCTTTTCTTTACCCAAAAACTGGATAAAAATCTAAGCAAGTGGAAGCCATGCACGTGAAATACACAAACTGCATTATCAGTATTCATGAAACTTTACCCCTACACAACACCAGTCATTGCTATGATGAAGTTTTGTGGCTGTGGCTGATAAATAATCACACACACACACACACACACACACACACACACACACACACACACACACACACACACACACACACACACACACACACACACACACACACACATACACACACACACACACAAGGAAGACCAGCACCGCACCGCAGCTCGTGTCCTAACTGAGAAAACCTCAATTGTCTTATAGGATGTTTTTAACTTATGGTCGATGGTTCATAACGTCCAATATTTATATTATTATTACTATTACTACCAAATACTTGTATCCTGTTTATTTCAAGTTGGAACAGCTTATATTTACTGTAATCCAGACTGTATTTCTGTACATATATTATCTTCTGAGTCAGATATAGCGTCTTTGAGCCAGATATATATAACCATGTAATAAATACTGTCAACTAGGGTTTGCTAATGTATGCAGCATTACTCAGTATGATTAACCTGTCTCGCCAAACAACCATCTTAACGGTAGGCATCTTACACCATATGCTTCTTTATTTTGATTTTGTAAGTTGTTAATTTCCTGCACTTGAATAATAAAGTCTGCAATTTTGCACAAAGTTTGTATGAGTGACTTTTGTGGGTCAGTTGGGATGAATATAATGGTGTATATATATAGGACGGGACCGTCGCTGGGATGTGAAGACGGAGTGAAGGAACAGCGCCCAACCACTTAGCCAGACCCCTGAGAGCAATAATCAATAAAGTTAAATGAAAAGCGGCTGCCATGAAAAGCTCTGTTGCCCCCCAAGACACTGCATATATTACGCCGGTGCCTGTGATATATTATGACCTGAATTGATTTGTTGGCCGCTATATTTAGTGGCTGTGGAGCCGGCTGCTCGCGAAGGGTTCCACTATTCTTCCAGGCGAATGTTACCAGGTGCATTTTATATTACAGTGATAACGTTATCATAACTTCAGTGCTCTGGGTGTTCCATAGGCTCATTGTCTGTGGGTGGAAGAGTGTCTCCTGTTGCTCTGCAGTAAGGCATGGCTAACTTCACACTGTTTCCTCTTGTGAGTTTTGTTGGACCTCTGAAGTAGTAGTCTGGACTAACGTTATGTAAGTTACTTATTATCTCAAGAATTATGCTAGCACCGATCGGTGATTGAATCGCAGTTCTATGAGTTCACAGCAAGGCAATTTGGCATTAGCAAGTTTAGCAAAGGAGGTCAAACTGAGGATGGTTCTCAAGACACCTTTCTCTTTTACATCACCATGAGAGAAGGTACATTCCGCTCGGATTCTAAACTTCCTATTTGAGACTTACTTAATAAAAATGACTTATTTATTGATGAATATTTTATGTGGCAAGAAGAGAGAGAGATCATTGGAGCCATATAAAGACAATCATTTATCTATCCTTTGGGGGCGGGTTACACCCTCGGCCGGGCTCTCAAACATGAACCATCAAACCGGAGGAGACAGATGTGTGATTCATCAGGACCGCAAAGCTTTTATTAAGGCTATTAGTCTGTCTTCAATTCTTTTGCCACAAGAAGCTCAGAAACCACTCAACTGCCCAAGATGGAAGTCACAGTTAAATATGCAGTTACCTTGAGATGATTTCAGGCCTCAACGTACCCGCGGCCCCGGTCTTCGACCAGGCCTTCTCGTTGCTGAACTGGTCAACGAGGCCGTTGGACGCGGCTGCTCGCAATTAACAATTAAAGCTGTGACACTTATCTTGGCTTCTATCTGGGTGTTGTAGATGTGTTGCCAGTGTTGTTGGACAGGTGGCGGCTCCTGTTGGACAGTGGCGGCTCCTGTTGGACAGGTGGCAGCTCCTGTTGGACAGGTGGCGGCTCCTGTTGGACAGGTGGCGGCTCCTGTTGGACAGGTGGCGGCTCCTGTTGGACAGGTGGCGGCTCCTGTTGAACAGGTGGCGGCTCCTGTTGGACAGGTGGTGGCTCCTGTTGGACAGGTGGCGGCTCCTGTTGGACAGATAGCGGCTCCTGTTGGACAGATAGCGGCTCCTGTTGGACAGGTGGCGACTCCTGCTGGGTGGTTGTATGGCAACATTCTGTCCTATGGAGATAAGTCACTTTCCTATGTTTTGAATCTTTCATCCTGCATGTTGTACGGTACCTGTCCTTGGGTTGTAGAGGGTTACTTCCCAAGTGGTAGTGCGGTATCTTGTGTTTACCTGGCCACGTGGCGCCTCTGCTTGTGTTGTCGAGAGAGAGAGAGCCCAGCCGGGTGTCAAACAAAAGAAAATCATTTTTGCGAAAGCATGAATGTAAATATTGAGGTTAAAATTTGCATATAAAAGTGCAGAGAGGGGGAGGTGAACGAGAAAAAATGGGGGCAGCGGTGTGAGTTTGTATATTATATTATATATATATATATATATAATATATATATATATATATATATATATATATATATATATATATATATATATATATATATATATATATATACACATGCCCACTTGAGGGCTGTCAACCCCAACGAATTCAATATATAGGCAAGACAACAACATCCCTTTCAAGGCGCCTAACAATGAACAAGCAGGAAGGAACACACAGGAACCACACTAACGTGATATATATATATCAATGAGAAGATCCATCAGGGCTGTGAAGTGGGCGCGAACCTGCGACCAATTAAGGCACTGCCAGCCGCATACGCGACCACCGGACCACTGTTGACTTGTGAAATCACGCAACCGGATTTCTACCGAAATTACAGGAAGTCTGGAGGCTTCAGTAGGGGGCTTCCATTACAATACCCCTCCCCCCCCCCACTAACAACATGTCTCTACTTCTGTAGCAATTAATATATATAATTGCTAAACTGGAGCATGTAGTGAGGTATGAAACAACTGAGCTCAGAGCAGCGAGTTACGCATCTTGCAATCCATGCTCTTGCATCTGCATTGATTCTCGCCTTACTCCACGTTTACATTTCCTCCATGCAACCCGTTTTCCCTTTTCATCCTAACCTACAGCAAGGGAGGAGCAAGAGGCAAGCGAGGCGTCGTAATTGAGTTATAGAATAGAGCTTAAAGATGATGATTATGATGATAATGATAATGATGAGGACAGAGTGTTGTGGCTCGTCAACTATGGAGTTGTAGGTGCTGGTGCCGCGTGTTAGGTCGGTGGTTAGTAGGTGATGGTGTACCAACTTGTTCCAGGGAGACGAAGTTGTCGCCGTCTGAGGCCAATGTTTCCGGCCTTGTGCTCTCTTCTCTCGTGCGGTTACGAACACATGGAAAAGGACAGCTGTAGGGAACAATGATATATAACTCCTTAACCGGCGGCTCCTCCACCTGTCACTCACCTACTGTTAGCTCCATCACCTGTCACTCACCTCCAAGCAGCTCCATCACCTGTCACTCACCTCTAGACAGCTCCTCCACCTGTCACTCACCTCCAAGCAGCTCCATCACCTGTCACTCACCTCCTGTCAGCGCCTCCACCTGCCACTCACCTCCACCTACCCCCCCCCCCACTTGCCAACTTGTAGGCCTACCTTCACCCACCACAAACTATCCTAAACAGTCATGGAAATCCAGTCATGGAAATAAACTGAAAATTCAGAAATACACAATTCACTTGAAGAGAAAAAATCTATATATCTATGTAGTAAAATGTTTGCTAATAAAGATACACTCAGTAAGACTGGCAACACACTTTACTATATACTTCTAAGGCGATGCCTCTAAAACCACTGGTGATTAGTGATAACTAGGATAGTTAAGTGTTAGAACTAGTTTACGATGACGCCTCTCTAACTAAGCCGAGACGTCAGTCGCTGGGTGAACCCACAAGACTCTCTAAGTGGCCCGTGATGGCCCACGTCTCAGTGGTACAAAAGTGGTACAGTGTTAGTGGTACAAAAGACTTGCTCTATTGCTAAACACTTCTAGTACAGGACTAAACCACTGAGGTAAAAATGGCGAAGAATTTCTATTGCTCTATATTTGTGCACACGCAAAAAAAAACGAACGTGTGTGTTTTTTAAAATATGTGAGAAACAGGTAAATTTAAAAACATTCGAGGTAATGCATTATTTAAAAATTGGCAAATAAATCTACGTTTTGTCTCGTTTTCTATGAATAAAATCAGAGGGATAACTATGAAGGCCGAGAAGTGTAGGTAGATATCTAGCAAGTGAGGTGGGCTAGAGGCTAGAGCAGGCCCCCTCCTGTCGCTGGGCTAGAGGGGGCTAGGGAGGGGGCTAGCCACACATGCCACCTCCTCTTACGTACCCGCTGTATAGTCCGGCCTCAACCTTTGTCTTTTGTTTCTTAAGTTGGCTTAGAGGGAGTTTGTCCTGGAAACAAAAGAAGTGAGCTAGTACATGAACATGAATGAGAACGCCCAGGATATTTAAATATATAAATATTACATATAAAATACAATACAGGTTTACATACGTTTACAAATATTTACTTACACAAATATTTTCATTGAGAAAAATTGACATACATGAGGTCCGGTTAATATGCTCTAAATACTCGTGAAACATTTCGATAAGAATCATAGGCGACCAATGAGAATGCAGAGCTAGATTACTCTGTGATGTCACTGGAAGAACCACCTCTGCCCTGGGCACCACCGCCCCTCCCTGACAGTATTTTGTTATGTGTTCTCTTGTATTCACTTTTCCTCCGCCTCTAAGGATGCCAACGGGAACTTACCGAAACAAGTCATACCCATTACAAGTGTACAATAAATGTTGGAGAACTAAGTTTGTCCACTTCAAGAAGATTCGTTAATGACCGATTTAACCTTTCGGTCATATTCAATACCGCACGCATATATATATATATATATATATATATATATATATATATATATATATATATATATATATATATATATATATATATATATAGTACCGTTGTACTACGGTACAACTTCGTTCCAATAGGGTCTGAGACCCAAGGCCCATGGGGTGAGAGTGCAAGAAGGTTTCTTAAGGATCTTGGTTCCAAGCTCATTGACACCACAAGAGACCCTAGAGCAGCAAGTTTTCTCTTTCAGCGCCTCAATGTCGCGATCCAGAGGGGGAATGCCCGCTGCATCCTCGGTTCCTGCCCGGCGTCGGAGGAGTTCGAGGAAATCTACAGCCTCTAGGAAGCGAACTTTTTCTTGTGTCCTCTTAATGTCCATTTTTTGTATAAAATCAGATATGTAACTGTATAACCTTGCATAATAAAGTATACACCATAATAAAAAAGGGGGGTGGTAGGAGAAGCGAACACTCTTTCGTATTCAGAGTCAAATGGCAAGTTTTTCCCTGAATGCTCTGTGTTCCCTTCTCTGAGGCTGTGGGTCCCTATAATTGCACCAGTGGTGGTACCCCCCTTTATATATATATATATATATATATATATATATATATATATATATATATATATATATATATATATATATATATATATATATATCACTAAGAACTCTTTGACCCGGCCAGGATTCGAACCCATGCCGTCCAGGATCACCCCTAACCGTACCCAGTACCGTGACCACCGCACCAATGATAGACGATCATTGGTGCGGTGTTCACGGTACTGTGTACGTTTAGGGGTGATCCTGGACG